ATAAACATAAAGAATAACAAAAAACATTCTAATTTGCATGTCACTGGAATCCCAGACAGAGAAAGAAAGAGACAGGAAGGTAAGGAGGGGAAGGTAGGAGAGGAAGAGGGAGAGGGGGAGGGGAAAGAGGAGATGAAGAGAAAGAGAGACTTGGAAGGCTCGAACTGGTAAAGATGCCAACTCTCCCCAAACTGACCTATAGATGCAATAAAATCCTGATTAAGATCTCAACAGATCTCTGTGTGTAGGTGTGTGCAATTTGACGAAGGCCATTGGCAGGAATGAGCCTAGGTGAAGGCCAGGTCAGATGGCCTTGTTGAGGAGTTGGAAGTTTGTCTTTAGAGTAAATAGGGAGCAATAAAGGGTTTTTAAGCAGGAGAGCAATATGAGTTGCATTGTAAGAAAGATGATATTGCCAAGAATGTAGGAAAAAATTGGAGGCACAAAGTAAACTTAAAAGGCTGTTGTAGTACTTTAGAGACATGGTGATGGCTTTAACTGGTCTAGTGGAAGTGAGGAAGGAAAGAAGTGGGCAGATTGGAAACATGTAAGGACCTACTTGTTCGTCTTTCCGGTTGTCCAGGTATCTGTAGAACTCTCTTCCAACATCATATTTCATATGAATCAATGTTTTTTTCTATCAGCCTTTTTCTCTGTCTGAGTTTCATATCTGTTCATAATAATTGGGAATACAAGGGTGTGGATCATCTTAACCTTGGTCTCTAATGACACATCTTAGCGACCTTGGTGATCATTTCTAATTCTTCTATTGGTGTCCTTCTGAGCCTCAGCCTTCTCTTGATTTCTTGGCTGCAGTCTCCAAGTGAATAGATGACTGAACTAAGGTAAGAAAAATCTTTAACAGCGTCAGTCTTTGTTGTCTGTATTAAAGTTCTGTATTTCTTCTGTAATCATAATTTTTGTCTTCTTGATGTTCCCATTCAGTCCTGCTTTGGCACTCTTTACTATACACAAATCAGGTTACTCATTATTTCCCCCAGTGTTTTGTTTTCCTGCCTCTTCACATTTACTTGTGATGGACTCTCTACCTGGAATGCTCTCTTGCCCCTTGCCTCCACGTGCAGATTCTAGTCACCTTCAAGGTCAGTAGGTCAGTGCTGTCTACTCCGTGTTTACTTCATGAATTCTTTCCCATGGCCAGATGTATTCTCTCCTTTCTACAAACTTTTATAACATTTTGTAATTTCCTGGGCATAGGTCACATTCTATCTTCAGTATGCAGGATTGAAATAATGCATGTGAAAAGTCAGGTGCTTAACAAACAAAAATTATTTAACTATTTTTTATTTAAATGATAGCTATTTATATACATGCCTTATTTTCCTTCTTTAGACTCCTTAAAAACAGAGACTCTTTTTATTTATACCCATTTAATTCTCCCATAATTTCTGACATAATGTCTTGTAGGTGTGTGTGTGTGTGGATGTGTGTGTTTAAAGGCCCATTAAACTGAATTAAATTGTGGAAGCAAAAGGATTCAGGAAAACTTATATTGAAATTACCAGTCCTGACCTGGTAGCTTGGTTGGTTAGAGCATTTTCCCAATGCACCAAGGTTTCAGGTTCGATCCCTGGTCAGGGCACATACCAGATCATCCAATGAATGCATAAATAAATGGAACAAAAAATCCATCTGTCTCTCTCTCTCTCTCTCAAATCAATACATAACATAAAAAAAAAAAAAAGAAATTATCAGAACCCAGGTTTACTAATAGGAGTATGTGCTTCCTTTAGGTCAAAGATTATTTTTTTCATGTTAGTTTTATCTAATTGTAATCAAGAATGTATCCTCTACATTAAATCACATTCTCCTGGTTTTCCTCTTACTTCAGAGGTCACCCTTTCTTATCATCTTTGCTGGATCCTCTTCTTCTTCTGTGGGAGACATTTTGCATGGCGTCAATTTTGTTATAATCTGCTCTGCCATCGCCTGCCCCAAGGCAGGATATCTCTGCATTCTGCATTTCTTTATCTCTGTATTTTGCATTTCTTTAAGTAACCATTTACTCATCAGCCAGTCTTTACTGACCTTTTGTTCCTTTTGTACTATTTCCTAGAATTGCTTCGGGCAAGCCTGGTGCTTGGCAACAGGCACTTCTTACCCTATATATTGTGTGAATTACCCCTGAATAAACGAGACTTGATCAGAATCCTGTCTTGTCTCCATTTCTCGTGTCCCTTGTTCCTCCTCATCCTCACTCCCCCTCTAGAGTCCTCGTTGCTCGACCTGCGGGACGGGTCATTCTTCTAGACCTTTAATGTTGGAAAACCTCTTCTCCATATACATTCACTTTCCAGGATATCACATCCAGTGGCATGGTTTTAAATACCATCTCTACACTGATGACTCTCAATTGAACTCTTAACTGAACTTCAGACTCATGAAATTACCAGCTCAACATCTCCAATCTGATAACTAATTGCTATCTGAAGCTTAACATTCATAAAACAATACTATAAGTTACTTTACACCCCAAACCTATTCTTACCCTAGTCTTCCCTACTCCCAGAAACTTGTACCATCATCCATCCTCTTTACTGAAGCCCCAAATCTAAGAGTCAGGATCCCAATTTCTTTCCTTCAAACTATATATAAACTATACTTAAATCATGACAGTCCTACCTTTGAGTTAGATTCCAACACATCCCCTCATCCCCACATCTACTGCTGCCACCTTGTCCAGCTAAGAACCAGCTTTTGCCAGGACTATTATAAAAATCTCCTAATTGGCTAACTGGACATCCTTTCTTCCTCTCTACAGACAGTTCTTTACTCAGCAGTCAGAGTAAGCTTAAAAGGAGAATCAGAGTATGTTTCTCCTGTGTTCTAAACCTCCAATGTTTCACATCTCACTTAGCATAACATCAAATGTCTTACCATGGTCACAAGCTCCACATGATCTGGTCTCTAGCTTCTTCTGACTGCATCCACTACCTCTTCACACCTTACTTACTCCAGATCTGTCACAGTGTCCTTGCTCATCTTCAATATACCATTACTTCTTCAAGGCCTTTGCACTCTCTACAATCTTGACAGTCAGTCAAGTGAGGTAACTTTGCAAACAGGTATAGATTATTCATCTTTGTTTTTCCAACACCTAACTTAGTGAATGGCATACAGTAGAACTCAAAAGTGAATTTGGATAAACAATAGCTCTCTTTAAAAAAACTGGAGATATTAGCTGACCATATGGGTAGGATATAAGCCTTCATTGTGATATAATTTCCCCAAACATCTAGTGTTACCTAAGGCTGTATTAAAAAATGTGTATTGTTTGGAGAAAGGCAGATTCTAGTTCTTCTAGTCAGACCACTTCTGGAATGTTGTATTTGGCTCCAGGTATAACATATTAAGAAGGATTCTGATCCACTGATGCATTTCAGACAAAGGATATTTTTCAGAAGAGGAAAAACAGTAGTGAAAGAATAGATAGACCATGCCCTGTGAGGAACCATTGAAAAAACTGAGAATCTTTAGCCTGGAGAATACTAACTTGATAATTGGGGAGGAAATGCGAAAGTTCTCCCCAAATAGCAAACAGTCTGCCACATGAAAGAAGGGGTTGTACTTATTCTTGTTAGCTAGAAAGGAAAGAACCAATGGGGTAGGAGGTTTCAGAGAAGAAACTGTCATTCGGCATAAATAAGAATTGCCTACCAGTTTCCCCCAAACTCGTATTCTGCAGAACACTACACTATCTGGGGCTATACAATGTTTCCTGTGTTTTTACTGCAGGATTTCTCAGAAATTTTAATATACAAATATGAAGAAGATATAATATGCTCCATTCCCAAATTTGTTTGTCCATAGAAACTTTTATTCACAGAGCACTGTTAACTCCTCTTCAAACAATATTGCATTGACCAGATTGAGTTAAAGCTGCTCTGGTTCACATCAAGATATCTGGGGAAACTGGATGGTGCTGCTGTCTCTTTAGTACTTCTGAAACCTTGGGCACTGAAACTAAAGTATATCATGTTTGGGAAACCAGAGCAACTTCTCTTACTTGTTATGTTTACAGTGTGGGATGCAACATAGTTCTAAATGAGAATAATGGAGCAAAACCAATGAAAATGAGGCTCTGTAGTATAGTGGTTCTGAACTTTTTCCCCCAGCAATACATTATAATGACTTTCCTATGTCTGCCCAAGGATTCATTTATTGTGTGCAAGGTAGTTGTTCACAGGATCTGAGGCCCGGTGCAAATCGATAAGAATGGCTCTCACCTTTGCCTCGCTTGCACAACTCCTACCCTACTCCGGGAACTGTTTGCCTAAAGCTCTTTCACAGAGACCCCCGCCCCGTTCCGCCCCATTCCAGGGACTGCTTGCCCTTATCTCATTCCCATGAATCTTTTGTCCCCAAGGCTGCACCCAGGCAAAGGCCCCCATGTGTTAAACCGCAGGGCCAAACCCTAACGGACAAATTCCAGCTGCAACAGGCAGATATAAAAGACACAAGCCCCTACATTGAGCGCAGCTTCTCGGACTCCTGTCCCCCGAGTCGGTGAACCCGCCCGGAGTGTACCCAATAAACCTGAACCTGTTTTTATCTAATTTGTTGGCCTCTCTGGTTTGTTTTCCCTTCGCGGTGGCTGCTAAATTTCTAACAGTAGTGTTTCTCACCTTCTTGTTTAACACAAAAACAAAAAACTCTCATGTTCTCCCCCTACCCTCCAGATTGTGATAGGACCCTCATATGGAACCATGCCTCTCCACAGAGCTCGCCATTTTAGAAGCTCAAACCTAGAGTATTAATGTGACTGTTTTTTTAATAAGCAAGAATTCCCAAGCCTAAATGAAAAAAAAAAAAAGGTTTTTAAAAACTGTGAGGAAAGTAAGGCAAAAAAATTATCAAAGTGAAGCCACTTATTTGAGGCTGAAGGGAGTAATAATAAAAAAGGAAGATGGATTCATAAAAATATTGCTGTTATTAAATGTTTGTTGCAACAAGCAAGATACGATGTACTAACAACATTGAGAAGACAGGGTTTCGAAATGGTAATTAGTGTCTATACAACTGTCCACACAAGAGCATAAACCAGGGCTGAAACATTGTCGTTCATAAGAATGTGCACTGCAGAAGAAGGGTTCATCAGGATTTCAACAATTTATATCCATTCTTGTTTTCCAGAATCATATTTACCAATGTTTACTATCTTTAATTTGATTTTCAAAGATCTGTCAGTCTTGAGAAAGAAGTGGTTGGGTTAGTAGATAAAACACTGTAATTATAAGAAAGATATATCTTCTCCTGTGTTAAAAAAAAACAAACTCATTCTGTTATTCTGTACTGAAAAATTTACTAAGGTTTTATCAAACTTGGATAGCTGATAAGCCAGCCCCTGGACCAGATCATACCAGACGTACCAATACTAAAGGTCCTTGTGAATAATTCAATTACATTGCTTATGAAGAAACCTGAAATACCATTTGTCTGTTATTCTGCAAATTTGCCCCTAAATCAGCACTTCAAAAAGTGGGGTCATCAGTTCTAAATAGAAGGTAAAGAAATTCTCACAAAATTTTGCATACCTATAGAGACTAATCTCAATTATGCATTTGTGTTTTCATGGCCATTTGGAGACACCAGGCCAGCTTTACCAACACCACACAAGGTTTACTGAGTTCACTGATAGATGAGGAGATGTAGAGTACAGAACTGCCTGGAGAAAAGTGGAAGAGACCAGCTCAGATATAATGCCACCTCTCTCCCCTAACCAAAAAGGAGGAAAAAAATGCTTGAAGTTCAGTGATGGCCAAGACCAGAGTCAGGAATCTGGGCCTGGGCAGAGTCCCAGGAGTCATTAGAGCATTGTGTTCTTGGTCTCCAGGTTGATTGTGTTCTCTTGAATACAGGGAATCTGCTTCTCCGCTGGCTCCTGAATATCCTCTGACTTTAGAGAAACATAGTAGTAGCCCATGATGGAGAAGATCAGGCAGACCAGCAGCAGGAAACAGGAAAACAAAACGAATTCAGCCCACTGCAGGAAGAAATATACATAAGAAAAAAATATGGAGAAACGTGAAACTGAAGGGAATCTTCAAATGATGAGAACTGGGGAGCAGATTGACCCAGGCTCAGCATTTAGGCAGAGGTTTGCTAGAAGACTGGTTCACTGACCTTTCCTCACATGGGCATTTGATAGCTATTATTGATACTTACATATGTCTGCTTTCCTAGCAAAGTCTGTGTGCATCTAATCCATCTCATATGGGGAATGTAGGAGGCAGAGGGATGTGGGAAGAGGAAAGAGAGGAATTTGAAGGGGAAAACTTGGGTAGGCACCAGCTCCTCTTTCTCTCAGATCCATACCTGTACCAGGCCACTGAACTGTGCCACAGCAAGCACAATGAAATTGCCAACTCCAATCGTCAGCAACCAGGCTGCTTGGAGTACAGATTTCATGCTAGAGGGAGCCTAGAGAGGACACAAGTTTGTCAGTAAACAAAATCCCTACACCACCCTCATGCCCCATGCACTTATCCAGAAACTTCTTTCACAAAAGTTTCCAGATTCAAACTTTCCCCACTGAGTTCAGCAATCACATTGATTCAGGGGGGTGTTAATAATGTTAACAATAATAACAGGATGGAGTTCTAACTAACTGAATATTTTAACTCATTGTATTACATAATCCTTATTACAATCCTAGAGATATTTTACTATATTGTATTGGTATTCTTATTTTATACATAAAGAAAAATAGTATTAGAGAAATGATAATTCACTTGCTCAAGATTACACAATGGGTTGTACAGACAAAGTGTGAACATAGACAGTTGGACTCCACAGCCCTTATTCTTAATTTTTAAGTATCCTTTCCTAGATATTAAATATTATCGGCTTCTATGCCGTACTTCCATGATCCTGGGAATCAAGATGACTCTCTGTACAGGGTCATGTATAAGGAATCTCAGGCAAAAATATATGAAGGCCTTAGCCAAGTCACATACCTATTTAAGGCAGTGCTAGAATTAAAATTCACCACCCTCTAAGCAATATCTCCACCTCCACTTTCCACTTGCAAACACCTACCTGAGAATAAGAAAACTCGAGTCCTGTGACAGAGAACATGACCTCCCCAGCTGAAACAAGCACATATTGTGGTAGCTGCCATGCAATGGATACTTTGTTGGCTGGAATGTCTTCTGTCTTCCAGGCCTGAGGACCCTGACTGGTGCTCTTAGTGAGGGAAAGAAAGAAATAGGTTTGTCAGTAGTTTTAAGTAAATATTCCTTACCTACAGCATTCTATGATCTTATATCTATCCCCCTTTATATTTTCATCCTTCAAGAGATTGAGCAATTTCTACACAATTTCAGTTTTTTGACATTCCTTTTGGTAACACTACACTCACTTGCCTGACTTTGGATACCGTTATTAACAGAGTCCTTAAATAGCAAAATCTTTTTATATTTATAGTTAGGATTACCAACATTTTGACACATTGGGTATTTTGATCCTAGCCAAAATCTTAAATATAAAATGGCATCTGAATTATAAAAACACAATGAATTTTTACATAGCATGTTCTTGAGAAACATTTAATTCCTTCTCTATTTTCTATGTAAGTATGATTAAATTGTTTTTAACATTTTTCTATTAAAATTTTTATTTTATTAATTTTGTCAGAATAAATTATTTTCTTGGTAACCTTTACATTGATAATTTTATTGATAAATCTAAAAAACCCATATCAAATACCACCTGCTATTTTGAATTTCACTTGCTGGCTATTATTATTATTATTATTGGCCATTGTTTTTATTTTTTTTAATTTTTAAAAATTTTTTATTTTTTTCTCCTCACCTTAGGACATTTTTCCATTTTTTGTTCAGGTAGAGTGGGAAGGATAGAGAGGAAGAGAGAAAGAGAGAGAAACATCGACGTGAAAGGGACACATCGAGTGGCTGCCACCCGCACAAACAACCAGGGCCAGGGACAAACTGCAACTGAGGTACGCACCCTTAGCGGGAACTGAACCTGGGTCTCTCTGCACCACAGGTTGACGCTCTAACCACTGAGCCAAACCGGCCAGGGCTGGCCATTGTTTTTTTAACGTAAATCTTACATACTGACATTCTGTAAAATTTTGGTCAAAAGGAATTTTTTAGGGTTAACTTTTTGTTATTAATGTTACCAAATACACATGATTCTACAATTTCTTTTCTAAAACTACTTTTACTATATGCAGGCTTTTAGCTATGGTTGGTTTTATATAGATTATGTCTACTAATATTTGTTATAAATAGAATGACATTTTAAAAATTGTATATATTTCTTGGAATAAAACCATTCTTAGGTAGTAGATAATATCTGGATATATAATGAGATAAAATGGCAGAGATAAAATCAAGGTCAAAAGTCCTTCAAATAAAAAATCTTTAATGTCCAAATGCAATTGATTCTCTAAGTCAAAGGGCCATTGGGTTCAAAATAGTAAGGTAAATATTGCTTTTGTTGATACTGTGAATAATACGTGGGTATATATTTGGGTTTTCTCAGCCTGAGAGAAAAGACCTGAGATTCTAAATCAAGGCCACATACTCAAATAGCCATAGGCAAGTGATTAAGTAAATGCAGCTGGTTGCATGGAAATGAGGGGACTAGGTGCTGGATAGCACAGGCACCATTTATAGGGTACAACCATCACAGCACCAGCCAACTGATATGGTAATTCATGTTACAAAATCTTCTACTATTGTTTTTAAGAAATATTATGAATCCATCCCTGGCCGGTTTAGCTCAGCGGTAGAGTGTCGGCCTGTGGTCCAGAGAGACCTGGGTTTGGTTCCCGCTAAGGGCATGTACCTCAGTTGCAGTTTGTCTCTGGCTCTGGTTGGGTCGTGAGGGTGGCAACCACTCGAATTGTCCCTTTCACGTCGATGTTTTTTTTTTTCTCTCTCTCTCTTCCCCTCCCACTCTATCTGAACAAAAAATGGAAAAATGTCCTCGGGTGAGGATAAAAAAAGAAATGTTATGAATCTAGCTTCTTAGGTGAAATCTCTTGAATTTTAAATATTGTCAATTAATAATAATTATTGTGGTCAATACTATGCAGACCAAACAAATAAGGACTAGGGAAGAACTGGGCCCCCAGACCTCCAGCTTATGATCTCAACTCTAGATGCTAATTAGATCCTGGCATTTAGAAACAACATACATGGCCTCTATCTTGAGCAGCATATGAGAGGACAAACAAAAAATGGAGTAACACCAGGAATGCAAGTGTTATGGGTGTGATTGTGTCCCCCTAAAACTCATATGTTGAAGTCCAAATCCCTAGTACCTGAGAATGTGACCTTATTTGTACATAGGGTTGTTGCAGAATGATTAGTCAAGTTAAAATGAGGTCATTAGAGTGGGCCCTAATGCAATATGACTGGTGTCCTCTTAAAAAAGGAGAAATGTGGACATGGAGTTCTCCCTGTATAAACAAGCATCCTTGTGAAGATAAAGGCAGAAGTTATTCTTCTGCATACCTAGGAACACCAAATATTTCTAGAAAACCACTAGAAGCTAGAGGAAAGGTATGAAAGATTCTTCCTCACAGCCTTCATAAAGACCCAACCCTACCAACACCTTGATCTTGGACTTCTAGCTTTCATGACTCTAAGATAATAAATTTCTCTTATTTAAGCCACTCAGCTTGTGGTACTTTATTACAACAACCCTGAAAACAAATACAGCTTGATGGGGTTAACATCTGAAAATCAATTTATACCATATCAATGAAATAAAGGATGAAAACCACATGGCTATCTCAATAAACATAGAAAAAGGATTTGACAAAATACAACCCACTTCATGGAAAAAAAATTTTTAAAGATAAAAAATTTAAAAATCTCAACAAGCCCATCCAGTGTGGCTCAGTGGATTGAGCATCATTCTATGGATTGAGAGGTCCTGGTTCAATTCCCAGTCAGGGCACATGCCTGGGTTGTAGTCTCAATCCCCTGTAGAGAGCATGCAGGAGGCAGTCAATTGATGTGTCTCTCTCTCTCCCACTTCCTCTCTCTTTTTTTTTATAAAAAGAAATCAACTAAAAAAATAAGTTTCAATAAACTGGGAATAGAAGTGAACTTAACCTAACAAGTTTCATCTATAGAAAACCCACAGCTAACATAGTTGATAAAAGGCTGAATTCTTTCCCCTTCTAAGAAGATGTCTGCTCTCACCTTTCTATTCAGCATTGTATTGGGAAGATCAAGACAGAACAATGAGTCAAAAAAAAGGAAGGAGGGAGGGAGGGTAGGAAAGAAGGGAGGAAGGAAGGAAAGAAGAAAAAAAAGGAAGACAAATGATTGTCTTGGACTAATGGGTTCAGGAGGAAATGGGGAGTGACTGCTAATGGGTATGGAGTTTATTTTTGTAATGATGATGTTCTAAAATTGTATAACTCTGTGAATATTAAAAACTACTAAATATATATTATTGAGAAAATATTATCTATTGAATATGTTGATATATTTAAAACCACTGTACACTTTAAGTGGGTGAACTATATGATATGTGAATTATATCTCAATTAAGCTGTAATAAAAATGGCACACCAAATATATCAGATTATTAAATTAATTAAGTAAAATTTAACGGATTATTCTCATCATACCTTTGAAATGTTCCCTCTTTTTCTTATTCTCTCTTTTTTATATTTAATACAATGGAAGAAGTAATTAAATAAAATTCGAATCAAGACTGACATTAAAATTAAAATTCAGAGGAACCCTTCCCTAATTGCTGAGACAATTGCTTTTGATGGACCACAGGTAACTGATCCCTCAAACTTTGTGTAGAGATTGACATTTGCTACAAGTCTTGGTATTTCAGATTGTGATATGCTAGTAGATCAATTTTCAGGGCACTAGAAGATTTACATGTGGAGCCAGTCAAAAATACATAAATTACCTTTGTGTTCTTGGGGCCATAATGAGACTGAAGGAGACCATGTCACCTGATAGCAATGACTCAAGATAAATTGTCTTCCATTCCCCCAGACCCTGTGCCTGTTGCCATTGTTATCTGTTTTAACATCCCCTATGGAGATTTCAGTAGTAAAATCACTAGAATCTATCATCTTAGTAGAATCTATCACCATACTAGAAATAAGTATATGATCCTGTCTTGCCACAAAATCTTCTTTGGACTCCAAGATAGACACAGATATAGATACAGATATATGGAAGGAGAGCGCAGGGGTGGCCATGAGCTACTTACATTAGTAATAACAAACAGATAAGCTGCACCAAAGTCTAGTAGACCCAAATTCAGTAAAAAGTCATCATCTTTTGTTTTACAATGCACTGCAGGGTATCTGGAACAGAAGGAGTTTAGATTAGAATAAACATCACAGCTTAGAAAAGCACTCCCATTACCACAGGAAAAAGTGATCTCATCTCTTTATTGATGGTGAATTGAGCAGTGAAGCCACCACATTTCTCTTAAAGAGAAGAGTCTCGAGGAGTAAATTATTTTCATGCCAGGTTTTTCTGCCCCTGGATCTAAGCTTTTCATTGTCTGTTGAGTTGTTTTTTTTTTAAAACTTAAACCTAAATAAAGAAGGCACAAATCATTTTTTGTGGACTTCAGGCCCTAATTCTTCTCATCTAAGTTTTATGCATTTTTCTCAGCATAACACAGTGAACCCGAAAGGATAAGCCTGAAGTGATGATGTGCCAGTAGGCAGTACCAAAGGATAAGAGTGGGAGCCCATAATCAACTTTGCAAACCTCCCAGACATGGGCCTTATTAACTACACAGTATGACCTTCACAGCAATCATGATCTCCATATATCTGTGCAGAGAAAGATGAGACTGAGGGAAGGAGGCAAGGGTAGAAAAAGAGCTAGAGTCTGTGTATACTCAAAATTAGCTATACCTACTATCTTGATATACCCCCATCTATGTGCAAAGAAAATATTTTTAAAAGGTGTTGATAAAAGTAAAATGTCCAAAGGGCAATGAATGTTCTTACTCTCCTATTTGTACAGTTCTGTAAGCAGACACATCATAGTCTTCACCAACAGTGAGGGCGATATCTGTACCCAGGTTGATGCTGACCTCTTTATGCAAAGTGTTAACAAACCTAAGGGTAGAGACATTGTTACAGAGGAGATAAACTTTCCCAAACAAAGACACATGATAAAAGGGTAGGGGCCCTCTTGTTTTATTTGCCACTATATCCCAGTGCTTAGAACAGTGCCTGGTACATAAAAGGTACATCATGGTGGATAAAAAGCTGTGGTACATGTACACAATGGAACACTATGCCGCTGTAAGAGAGAAAGATCTCTTATCTTTTGAGATGACATGAAGGGACCTGGAGAGTATTATCCTGAGCGAAACAAGCCAATCAGAGAAAGACAAATATCACATGATCTCACCTATTTGTGTAATATAGTGAACAAAACAAGCTGATGAACAAAATAGACCCAGAGACATAGAAGTAGGGTACAGATTGACAAACCTCAGAAGAAGGGGCTGGGGGTGGGGTAGAGATAAACCATAGAACTTATATGCATGTATGTATAACCATGGACATAGACAACAATGCTGGGGATGATGTGGGCAGGGGGAGGGGATCAGGAGGAGGGTGTCAATGGGGAAAAAAGGAGAAACATCTGTAACAAAAATTAAAAAACTAAAAAACTAAAAAATAAATAAAATGTACATCATGTATATTGTTAATTGAATAACTGAATCAACTCAAATGTAAAAAGTAATCAGTAGTCTTAGCTGTCCCTAACTTTCTCCTTCCTGAGGTATTAGCTTTCTATCTGCCATAGCCTCACCTGATCTCTAACTGGATGGACACTCATGATCACCATGGCAGTCTGAGTTTCCTCACTAATATAACTTAGGTGCACCCAATTACTTTCCCTCTTATAATGAGAATTCACTAATTGATTCTCCATTAATAAAAATGATTATGTACATATAAATATATAGCAGTATTTATATAAAACTGGTATTTTATCCTCTTATTAATGAAGTCTGATTTAACTTAGCAAACTCAGATTCCCAGCCCATAACAGATCATCATTGTTTTGGGTCTGCAGATAATCCTGGACCCTTCCAGAATGATCTTTCTAGTCTTCTGAATCTAGGCCCTTAAACTGTCTCCTCAGTATGGGTTTTTGGTACATTTCCATTTTGTTAGCTTTTGCCTTTGTCTTTGGCCCATGGGAAAGAAAGGGCAGGTGCCCTCTAGAATCTTTAATGTTGATTTCTGGACTTTAGATAATCCTGCCCTGATCTATAAATTTCCCCTTCCACTCTTTCTGGAGGTTCCTATGGTTCTCCAACCCAGGGAAGTCCCAGCAACTCTTAACAACAACCACCTAATCTTGACCAGAGGCATGGACATCTGTCTATTTCATGTCAGATACCTGCCACAGAAAGCAGGTGACCTCTTTGGTGCTCCATCTCTGTAACTGTCCCAGGCTGTCTGACAAGACCTTCAGCCTTTTCTGAATTCACAACCAAATCTTTCGACACCAAACGTATTACCTTTTTTATACCATGATGTCTCTACAAGTTTAAAATAAAAACTATACTTTAAAAAGACAGTAAAAAGAGATATTCAACTACCAATAATGTAGCATTATTTGCTTACTTCTAAATTTCTCTCTGGTCATCAGAGAGAGGAAAGTACTGAGTTATTTTCCTGGGAACAAAATAAGTAGATAAAATATAGTCGAGGAAATGTATGCCTCAGAGCACTGGGGCATACACTGATACAGGGTCATCTTTGAATACCACATGGGAAAGCAAGCAAGCCTATCTGCTCTGTGTCCTGGAAAATGCCTTCTGTCACTCATGCCCCTGACATTCCAGGAGAGAGAATCCCTGTACAAGACAATTAGAATGTTAGGCCTCATCACTGGAAGCCCACGGATCAGAAGAGACCCAAGATTCATGAGAACAGAGTGGCCTCAGATTTCCTTGACATCCAAACCTCACAGCTGACATCCCATTGGTCGTTATGTTTTCTGCATCCTTCACCTTAAATAGAGGAAAGTAAAAATCAGTTATAGTTGACAACAGGGAACCAATAATCAGAAAATTTTATCATTAGACATAACCTTGATAAGATATTGATGATCCAGTCATCATACTCTAAGATAACAATTTGGAACCAAGGCCATTTCTTAACTTACCATCATGCTGGAAATACTTTCCCCATCTTCTCGAATGATCAGACTGTACCATTTCTTCTCCTCTACAGAATGCTCAGTGTAGACAGACAAATTGTGATATTTCAGGTGGAAGTGAAAATCTTGGCTTTTTGTCTTTAGGTGGAGTTTGGAATAGTGTGGCATTTTCTATAGAATAAAAAACCTGTCACACTCATCTTCTACCCCATTTTGGACATCATTATCTTATAGCATCCCAGGGCGAGTGATCTCATTGGATACTTTCAACATTATTCATTAAGCTAGTAATCCCCATTTTTAGGAATGTATCATAGAAGTAATTAGAGGCATGCATAAATGTTTATGAGTAAGGATATTCATTGTAGGATTATATGCTATAATATTTATCATTACAATTGCTTCTGACTTAAAAATTATTGCCATTTTACAGATGCTGAAACTGAAGTTTAGAGAGAAAATAACTTGTTCAGGGTCCTATAGCTAGGGAGTGGCAGAATCAGAAATCGGATTGGGGCACTTTGGCTCCACAAATGCATGCTCTTAGCCACTATACTGTGCTGCTGCTGCTTTGGTGCATAATTGTAATGTGTTTCTAATCCATTCAAGTTCATATCTCACCTGAAAGGATTTGATGGACTCTGGAAACAAGGAATTGTTTTCATCTCCCAGCACTGTCACCTTCACCTCATCATCTGCCAGATTCAAAACTTGTAGGAAAATCTCTTGGGGGCCTGGCTGGGGTTGGGCCTTTTCCTTAGGACAGAGAACACATATCAGAATCACTAACAAATAACCCTTTGGATACAAAGAGAACAGAAGTCTCAGTCCTATCTCTGACAGCCTAGTCCCTCTAGTCAGGACAGCACAGTTTTCTCCCACTAAATAGCATTTGACTTAGGAAACTGTGAAGACAGTTTAAAGGGGGAAACACCAGCTCGGTGCAGCAAGCATGATTGCCAGGTTACAAACTTCATGCTTTTTGACTCAGCTGAGGCCTCATATCATTCCCAAGAGTGGCCATTCAATCTGTCAAAAGGTATTTGTATGAGTATCTGGTAAGGTATCGTATAAGCTTGTTTCCAAAGAGATGGCTAGATACCTTGGATATCAGTGTTTGGAAATTCCTTGACAATATATGCTGAATCACACAGGTGGGAGATGAGCCTCATTTTGCATTGCTACTTTACTCTGTGTCCACTCATTTATCACAGATATTTATTATGTGCCTTCTTTAAAACAGGCACTGTGCTAGGTCCCAGGGAACCAGAAGAGTGAACACGATAGATAAGGCCCTGCACTCATGGAGCTGAAGATTTATTGAACTCACATTAATTTTTATCTCTACAACTGCCACAACTGCGAATGCCAGGCACGCTAGGATCATACCAACAGCCATTTTCCTGAGTGATCTGCAGAGAAGAGGGAGAGACACTTATATCTAAACTTCTGACTTTAAAGGATAAAATCCAAACTCCCTAGGCCTACCATTAAAGACCTTCCCTGATTTGGCCCCAATTACTTTTCAAAGTATTTCCACTTCACATATCCTTCGTTTTCCCTTTACTTGAGTCACATGAATGGTTCTTTGTAATGCACCATATTTCCTCACATCTAACTTTGTTTATGATGGTTTTTCTATCCATCATGTCATAATAACAAGAATAATAGTAATGCAGCCAGATTAATTGAACATTTACCATATGCCAGGCACTATACATTATTACTTTATTTTCCTCTTGTTTAGAAGTTTTTCTTGACCCTGGCAGCCAAATTCTCTACACTTCCCTGACACTTTGCTCCCTTATTAGGGCACCTAACTTATTTCGCCTTGTGTAATTATTATCTGTGCACACTTTCCACTCCCTTATTAAACAGTAAACTCCTTGAGGGCAAGATTTGTGCTTTTGCTTTTGCATTTGCATCACACTTGGTGCTGGACCCACTAATATTTGCTCAATGAATGAGTAAGTGACAAAAGGCCATTTGAATATAGTAAAGTGCTCATTAAAAAGAAATTGCTATTAAATCAGGGATTAGAAGTCTTTAAAAACTCCTCTGTCAAACTTTACAAAGAATAACACTTCTACAGTCATCCCTCGCCACTTTGCGCTTCGACTTCGCGGCTTCACTCTATCACGGTTTTTCCAGATATAGAGTGAAGCCCCAAAAGTCCAAGCATAAAGTGGTGAGGGACGACTATATATAAATAAATAATCCTACTTCGGGGAAATTTATTTATCGCGGTAGAGTCTGGAACTGATTAACCGCGATAAACGCGGGCTGACTGTATATGGAAAAAGCAGTAAATAGGGACAATTCTATCCCCATTCTTACCAGGTCCCCCTACTTGTTTCATAGGGATAATAGGAGATTTAAAGGAATTAGTTGTTACCAAAGGTATTAGACTTCTTTAAAGAGGCAACATTCAAGAACAAAGCAAGAAGTTGGTTTAGGAGCCCACTCTCACATACTCTTGACTTTCCATGAAACATAGACCTTCCCCTTCAACAATACACAGTTCAGTCAGCAGTAATAGCTTAGACTCTCTACAATAAGAGTTAATTAATACTAATTCTCATCCTCTAGTATTAATGGTGTTTAGTCTAACATGGGTAAACAGAAGCAGAAAAGCGATAAACCAAAACAAATCATCACTAAGTAGAAAAGTACTGACATTGAATCTTTATCAAAGTAGACAAAGACTGGGTTCATCTGGAGCAACAAAGGCATAATGAGCACTTACGAGAAGTTAATTCCGCACTTGGAGACCAGAGGATAAATGACAAGGTCAAACAATGGGATGAAGATAAGAACCAGAAGGGGATTTAGTACCTGTAATACCATGGTAAAAAAGATTAGTTACAAGTGTCCTCCTATCATAAGTGTGAGCATGTACTCTCATTTGCTTTTGCACATTCTCTCTCACATCTGAAGACTTTCATCACACAAAGTACAAAATGATTCCACATCTCTTAGTCCCTTTATACCCAAGACTATTTCTCTTGCTTAGCACTTTAGTTTCCAAATATCTCAAGGAACTAGTTTCACTCTGAGACTGTTTTTCTATCAATCAATTGGGAGTTCCCATTTTCTTTTTTTAAAAATCCTCACCACAGGATATTTTTTCATTGATTTTTAGAGAGAGTGGAAGGGAGGGAGGGAGGGAGGGAGAGAGAGAGAGAGAGAGAGAAAGATCAATGTGAGAGAGACACATCGATTGGTTACATCCTACATGCCCCCTCCAACCAGGGCCTGGGATCAAACCTGCAACACAGGTATGTGCCCTTGACTGGGAATTGAACGTACAACTTTTTGGTCCAAGGGCTGACACTCTAATCACTGAGTCATACTAGCCAGGGCAGGAGTTCCCATTTTCACTTATCATCTTCATTTCCACAGCACAGAGGAAATGGGCATGGCCAGAAGAAACACAGAGAAGGAAGAATTGGGGATTGTTGAACAAGAGGTTCAAAAAAGAACTGTGAGTCACCAATAAACAGAGATTCTGATTTTGTGGCTCACACAACAAAGCCTTTTACTTTCTTTTTTTTTATACTCACCCGGGGACATTTTTGCATTTATCTTGAGATAGAGTGGGAGGGAGAGAAGGAAGAAGAGAGAGAGAGAGAAACATCGACGTGAGAGAGACACATCACCGGCTGCCACCCGCACAACCCCAACTGGGGCCAGGGACAAAGTGCAACCGAGGTATGTGCCCTTAGCAGAAACCGAACCTGGGACTCTCTGTTCCATGGGCTGAAGCTCTAACGGCTGAGCCTAACTGGCCAGGGCAGCCTTCTACTTTCTTTGCCAATATTTCCAACATGCTATCTTGCCATGGAAAAAAAGACCAATTTTTATACTTTGCTCAAAACTCACTCTCCCAGGAGTTGATGTTTAGTCAACTTGCTTATCAGAAGATGTGAAAGACACATATGGGGCTTAAGGATATTATTTTCATCCCTATGCTTAGCACACTCTTCAGCATACAAGAAAAAATAACATCAAATTCTGGTTGGAAATCCTAATACTACAGGTAAAGATATAGACGAGAAAAGAAATAAGTCCCCATGACTATAAAGAAGAGTCTTACCTGCATCTGGTCAGGCTGAAGTACAACAAAACCCTGAAACATTATAATAAATTAAATTCTGAGGTGGCTAAAGACAAGAAAAGCTTAAATCAACTATCTTGGTAATTAGCAGGCAATAAACCTAACTTAAAATTCATCAGGTCTTTAGTTCAGGGCCACTGTCATGCTTATAAGGGTATATGGCAGATGCCCTAAGGCAGAATATTCTTTTCCGTGTACTATGCTTTCCTTAACTTCAGAGAAGAGTCAGTGTGTTTTTATTCATCTCAGTAAGTGCAGCTGTAGGTGGTAATAATGTGAAGGACAAGCTATCATGGTTAGATTGAAGATTCCCACTGACACAGTGTTTCCAAAGTTGTTCTCTAGGGAGTATATAGGGGGACAATCATGGAAAATTCTGGACAGTCAGAGGAAAGAAAAAGGTAAAATTATATTTGGCAGGCTGCAAATAGACTGGCTGATAAAACCCTGACATCGTTCCACCCTAACCTCTTCACAACTGAGATGGTAGAAAAACAAGACAATAATCTAGGAAGTGGAATAATTGAAAGCAGAGATGGAATTTTATGTCAGTTTGCCAAAGAATGGAGATGGAAAAAAGAAAAAATAATGCTTACAACTTTCCTATTTTTCCATGTCCATGTACAAAATATCTCATGTCCAGGTCCTCTGCTGTGGTCCTTGACTGAGAGACGGGGTCAACTGTGCACTATCACTGTTAAATCTGTCTCTTCTGTGCGGGGCAGACTCAAGGGAAAGAAAATAGTCACTATCCCAGGCCTGTATCACTTCATTTGCTATCCTCTCAATACTTTCTTTTAAACCTTTCCCATCCTTATGTTCTTGATTTCTAAAGATAAGATTCTGGTTTTTATTTCTAGACTACATTTCATTACTTTGCCTACTCAGTACTTTTCATGCTAAAGGCACCTCTCTTATGACCTTCAGTCAGTTTTCAGGCAAAAACACAAAGAAATTAATTTTTCCCGAATATAAATTATAAAGAAAATAACAGATTTCTCTGGAAAAGCTCTTCAACTCACCAAATTACAATTCATCTTAGTGGCCTGCAAGGTCCATCGTGAGCCCTGGGGCAGACAGAAGCCATTATGAGAAATCCCTTTTCTGTAAGAGGGAAGTGGCTGGAAGAAGGGGTTGCTTTCAAAAGAATTATTCTTACCTGCTGTTCCAAAAGAGCCCAGAACATGGGCAATGGGATATAAAGGAATAGTATCCTGGTCAGTGTCTTCACATCCCTAATGAGCTGCATCTGCAACAAAAAGTAAAGAAGGAACAGGCTAAATTGCTAGACGTGGTTTCATGCTTGTAGTAGAGGTAGCTCAGTCAGTAAGAGAAGAGGTTAAATGCAGCAGGGTTTGGACATTAGGAAAGATGCTATAGAGGAATAAGGTATTTCCAAAGTTCCAACTTACTGGGTATTTCTCAGCAGCCCAGTCTAGCCAGTGCTGTCGCTTTGGAATGTCCCCAGAACGGTTCTTGAAACGGTTAGAAATAGCAAACTAGGGCAGAGCATAGCCATCAGAAGAGAGACAAAAAGAAACCACCCCCTGCCTTTTTCAGTTCATCATCTCTTCCCTCAAACACACATACTTCAAGTGACTTATTCCAACCCCTTGATTTAATCAGACATTGAATTTCAGAATACTTCAGAAATAATTATATTTACCATTATGTCTTTTTAATTTAATTTAATTTTGTTTCCATCACCATTTATTCCCCCTATACCTTCTTCTACCACCCCCCCAAAAATCACCACACTGTTGTCTATGTCAATTTTTCTTTCCCTTTTTTGCTTAGTCCCTGAGTCCCCCACCCCCCAGCTGTCAGCCTGCTCTGATTGGCTTATTTCACTTAGTATAATATTCTCTGGGTCCATCCATGCTGTTGAAAAGGGTAAAATGTCCTTTTTTACAGCCAAATAGTACTCCATTGTGTAAATATACCAAGTTGTTTTATACTCTCATCTACTGATGAACACTTAAATCTACATTTCAGAAGATTTTTGCCAATTTAAAAAAATGATTAGATTTTTCTTTTTCACTTAATAGTTAAGCAAGGGCCCAGAGGAAGACGGATAATCTCAGTTTGCCAAAAGGCACAGATATAGAATAGAGGTCATAAAGAAAAATTTATACACCTGTTTCCAGGTTTATAGGCATAGCATCTCTTTGTCTTTGATTGAAAAAGTCATATAAACAATTCATAGACTTACCCAGATACATCTGACAACTTGAGTCACTATGTTTCCCTCCGGAGGCATTTTTTTGTACATTTTGCTTCCCATTGAAAACACAACTGCAGTTGACAAACAAAGTTTTTAGGGTCTCATTTAGCACATTCAGTATGCCAATGCTAAGGACAGACTGCTGAAGTGTAGGAGCGACTGGCAGATCATCTTATAAAGGGAGGAAACTCACTTAACATTTTCTGACTTGGGAGTTATAAAATTTATGGGAGCCAAAAAAAAAAAGAGTAAAATGGTCAATTGTTAAAAGAGATATCTGTTGAGACTTTCCTGTAATCACAGAAATGGAAGTCATCTTTGAATTCTCACTCTCCTTTCTCCTTCTTTACATCTGTATATTACCAACGTTCACTGATCCTCTTTCTCCAGTCTGCTGCCTCTTTCCACTACACTCGCTCCAACTCTTATTTAGAACCTCACAGCTTCTGTGGGTTATTAAAATGACCAACACCTAGTTTCTCGATCCCTGGTCTCTTTCTCTTATCTGGTGCCAAATTAAAACTTTCTTTTCAGGACCTACCTAATAAGCCCAAACCTCTGGCATGAAAGACCATCCCCCAAATTCATTATTGTCCTGATGGTTATTATTATTACTATCTATTGAGGGTTTATTATATGCAAAGTGTTGAGCATTTTACATACATGAACTGATTTAAACTGACAACATATGTACTACTCTCTCCATTTTACACATGAAGAAACTGAAGATTAAAGAAATCAAGCAACTATGATATAAGTTACAAAGCTAGAAATTGCCAGAAACTGCACTTTAGACCTGAGGCCTACATGATTCAAAATCTAAGCTCTTAACCATCAGAAAGCATCTTATTCACTTATTCTTGCATTACACATCATGCTAGACTAGGAATAAAGAGAAAAAGAACGTGGCTCCTGTCCACAGTGGAGTTCATTCCAACCTGCCACTTCCCACTTTATGTGTCATTACTCTCCACTAGTATCCTATGTTCTAACTACTATTCATCATTCCTACAAACAATTCTGTTCTGTACTATTTCTGTTCTTAAGCTTATTCTTTTCCTTTAACCCACATCTTTATTCTTTAACCACATTTCCATAGCTAATTACAGGCAAATTTTATTTTCTTACTTTTCCTTTCCCTTTCCAAATAATCAGCAAAAGATACTACTTTTATAATTATAAAGTGCCCCCCCCCCCCAAGTTTATTAAGTTTAGCTACAATCAATTGGAAGACTCCATTTTGCTACCCTCCTAGATATACTTTTTTCCTTAAGGGATTTTCCTGCTCCAGCAAGATGCCTTTCTCAATATCCTTACACATGAGAATGCCTGAGTCACCTTACTTTTACTGACCTTAACTTTTTAATTTCTCCATTCCTCTCAGTCAGATTCTCTCTGCCACCTTTTCTTTATTCATCCTCAGTTTCCCCAATGCTTCTCCAATTAGCACTTTATTTTTATTTTTTATTATTTTAAATATTTTTTCTTTATTGATTTTAGAAAGAGAGGAAAGGAGAGAGAGAGAGAAAGAGAGAGAGGGAGAGAGAGAGAGAGGGAGAGAGAGAAACATTGATGAGAGAGAACATCAACTGGCCACCTCCTACACAGCCCCCACTGGTGATCAGGCCCACAACCTGGGCATGTGTCTTGACTGGAATCGAACCGGCAACCTCTTGGTGCATGGGTGAATGCTGAGCCAAACTGGCTGGGCGAAATAGCACTCTTTACCTACAACAGCCTTCTTATTATTGGTAGAAAAGACAGTTCAGGAAAAGAATGCTAATCTTGGGAGACAAGTGGGCAAATAAAGAGGTATCTAGACAAGCAGAAGATTTTGGACAGCAAATAAATTATTCCTGACCCTAAGAATGATCCTAGAAAGAGGCTGCAAATCTCAGAAATTGTGATCTTAATATGACATTGAAGTGATAAAAGGAAGGCCAGGTAATCAACTCAAAAAGGTCACATTTAAATGTCAAGGCTACTTCTAAAGAAGATGAGTAGTAGGGACCTTGAGTTTCTACTATCTTCTCCCTGTCGACGTAAGACATGTCCAAATTTGTAGGGAATTTTATGTTTATTTGAGCCAAACTGATGAAAATGCTGGGTTGTTTTTCAATAGAGTTCTTTATGTGTTTGAACTGGACATCTTCCAGGGTGGTGTTACTCAAAGACTCACAGTGAGAACAAGTTTCCAGGTCAATGATCGGAAACAATCATGTCCAAGTTTTCCAGTTTCCCATTACATTGTACAAACTAAGCAACCCATACAGCCTCTTTCCTCTTCCATAACTGGCTTCTCAGTGGTGAAGAGAATGCCACTTGATCTAACTTATCCTTATCCAACTCCTCTTATTCTCTTTGCTCAAGAGTAAACTCCTTGGGAGCACTGCAGAGCAGGGCAGAAACAGCTAAACCTAGAATTGACTTTATGAGGCCCAAAGAATTAAAAATGCCTTCCAATTACCAGATGAATTACTATCAGATGAAATAAGCTAGTTTGAGAGAACGAATTATCGTCCTTGCTTCCCCACATATTCTAGAGTAGAACAGTGAATCTAAATCTTGACTACACATTATAATCACCTAGATATTTTAAAATTATAAATGCTTAGGCCCTATTTCATAGAGAAACTGATTTAATTGATCCTACACCAAGCCCAGGGCGCAGTCTTTATTAAAGCTCTCCAGGAATCTTCTTATTAGTTGTGTATCCTTGAGCACTTCTAAAAACAAGTGTTTTTTTACTTCAGTGAATTTATCTGCAATGTTTAGGGAAAACCCGTAAAAGAACACTTACCTAAAAGAGTTAGTGTAAGGAATGGATAGAATAATTTGTGTACATTGCTTACATGATGTTTTACATGTGGCAGGCAACAGTGGTTATTAGTTTCCTTGGCCCCACTGGACTTACCAAGAGCTATCACCATAAGCAATCCTGGAACTCCAAAAGCCAATGCATAACAGTCATCCCCAAAACACTGTACATCTCCTAAAGACAAAAAAAAAAAGTAACCCTGAATCTTGAGTCTTTGATGTTCTATTCCACAAGTTCAGGTTTTTCAGTTGTAGACATAGATGTCCTCTTTCCTCCCATCACCTAATCCATAAACCTTCTTTGGGGCCAGACAAATCAAGATTGAAAGAAATTCTCTCTGGTTTTTAAGCCCTTATAAAAGAAGAGGATGGACAGCAGGAAATGTTGGTCAGATCTTTGGCTGGAGTTAAGCTTTATATAGGGCCCCTCAGAAAAGATTCTAACCTCTCAGCATGGGTGTGATAAATGTAGAAATCAAGCTCCCTGCATTGATGGAGAGGTAGAAGACCGAAAAGTACCTAGTCCGTTCCTTTTCCTGAAACAAATAGGAAACATCATTAGTTCAATATAACTCTTAGCTGCACTCTATCCTATGTGCAGATTCAACTGGAAGTACATACACAGAGACAGATTTGGATATTGCCTCCATGGTATCTGACTATTATATTAGACATTTTACAACATACTTGGCTCACCCCATACAAACACTTATCCATTTTTCAAATCGCAATATAAGCATCTTTAACATTCTTTTATACTTTTTTCTGGTCCAAAATGACCAGCCTGTACACTATGCCACTACTGTGTTCTAAACATATCTATTGTAATATTAATTTCTTTGCCTTAAATGTGTGTTTCTTTCAGAAGGTTGTGAGTTACTTTAGGACAGAAATCATGTGTTACTAATTTCTGTAATCCCCACTATCTTCCATAGCACTGGCATACATTATGGACTAAGCAGATATTTATTGACCAAATTAAGTGAATAATTGACTGAGTTAAATAAAAGATTTTGTGGAATGTGCGACAGGAATAGGATTAGAACATAGGACAGTAGAGTAAACGGTTGATCAAGCAGGGTAGTTCACCTAGCGCTATGGGAAGTCTGTCAGAGAGTACAAAAGGAAGTCCATGGGCTTAGAATATCTGATGGAATGTGGAGGTGGGTGTGTCCTATTATTAAATATCTTTGTAGAAGTTACCAAATGAAACAACTTTGAAATAAAATTGCTAATGTTTTATTCATTGTGTACTGCTGTGCTTCATTTTGTCACCCGTATCTTTTCCTGACACAGAACACTCTGTCCTTCCCATTTTTTATTTTACAGTGTATTTCACTTCCTCTTCTGCTCCCCATTTAAACCTTATTTCACCCTAAAAAAGAAATGGATATATTTGTAAAATAAATAAATTAATCTTATTTCACACACATATTTGTGTAGTTTGCTGTGTACTGAATCCCACTTCCCAAAGTTTTGTTATTTCTCCAAATTCAACAAGCAATTATGATCTCTGGATCCCCAGATATATAAGAATATAAACTGATCACTAAAATGGTCTGAAGGGTAAAACACCATTTGAGTTATAACCACAGGAAGACAAGCCAGAGAGAGAGAAAAACTAGAAGCATGACCAACACCTACAGAAGAAGGAATAGATTCATGAAGACACACCAAAAAGAAAACTGAGAACAAAAGAGAGGAAGCCAGAAATTTTGACTGACCTAAGAATAGACTATTTTCCTTGCCTAATTCTCACTTCTTCCTCATGTAAGCCCATTTTAACTTATTTATATTGCCACCCTCTCCCAATAACAATGCAAAGTATTTAGGAAAAGAGAAAATGATCATCTAGATCAGTGATTTTCAGCCTTTTTCATCTCATGGCACACATAAAGTAATGGCTAAAATTCTGCGGCACACCAAAAAATATACTTTTTGCTGATCTGACAAAAAATAGGTATAATTTTGTTTCATTCACACTGGATGGCTATTATTGTGTTGGCTGTTGTCACTTTTTAATTTGACCATCTAAGGGAAAAGAGGTCAGTGCTCTTCACTAAATAATCAGGTATTGCACATTTAAAAAAAAATTATTGTGGCACACCGGTTGAAAATCGCTGATCTAGACAAATTCATCTATATAGAAACTCATTCTATTTGGTCCTTTTGCTTTTTCAGAGTATCTCAAAGCTAGATGTGCTACTCATCCCCTCCCATTCCAAAGTGCTTACCACATTTCTTCTTAAATACTGCAAGTGAGAGTGAACTCACTACTTCAAACTCTAACTATTAGAAGTCTTTCCTTCCATCAATCAAAAAACTAGTTTCCTATCATTTTCACTCATTGGTTTCAGGCTTAATTACCGACATCTGTCCAAAATCTAGAGTGCTATATTCTTTTTAATTCTTATCTACACAGGCTAAATATCCCCATATCCCTCAACCTTTCTTCATAAGATGTGTCTTCCAGTCCATCTACCACCCTGGTCAATTTCCTTTGAACGTTTTTCAGTTTTTCTCTTTATTAATGACCCCATACCCAGAAGGGAACATAACTCCTCATATATCTTCTCACCAATTTTAGCAAATGGCTCCCTGCCAGGTATCTCTTTTAATGACTGCTCTACATTCTTGAAAATACAGGATTAACGGGACTCTTACATGTTTATTTTCAAATTGGTCTCCACCAAAAGCTGCCACGCAGGGTTTGATACCTCCTGTCCCCAAAGCTATTAGAGTCAGGCCGACCAGGGATAGAAATCTGAAATGGAGAGGTGAGGACACTAACCATATTGATATTAAATACAACTGTAGACACAAAATATAGAGCGATGGGGGTGGTGGGGGTATACAAGGACAAAGATTCTCTTTACATTTCTAACCTGTGGGTACTTTTCATCTGCCTTCACTCCTAGGAAAGACTTGGGGGCACTTAGGAGCTTTATGACCCTTGAGCCTCTGCCAGAAAGTATTTATTGCATGGGAGGATTTTATTTCGCCCCTGACATTTCCATTTACCTCTTTTGTACAAGAGATAGAAGCAGATACTGAAGCAACTTCAAAATTAAAGCACTGATTCTCAATCTTATTTTAGCAAAAGAGACATTTCAATAGAAAGAACTTATAAACCCTTATTCCACATAACATTACTAACTACAAAACACAATGTTAAAATTCATCATAATTAGTAGAAGTGTCACTGATTTTTGATGGGACACCAATAAGGAGGTATCTATTAAATTTCAAACAAAATTATTAATTCACTGGATAAATACATGTATAGGCACATTAGAAACATGAATACATATGACCTGGTTCTTGGACAACTGTAATCCTCTTCACTGACTGAACCAACAGACATTAGAAGCTATCAAATGCTTTTTGTCCCATAAACATCAATAGTTTTAATAAAAATGGATAGAGCAACTGGAATATATGCAACTACACATAAAGGAAAAATATCCAAGCTTTGAATGTGACTTCTACAGTGAATTATAAGGAAATATTACAGACATGTTATTAACCCTGGAAAAGTACAGATGCATGGATGGGTGAGTAGGTAAGGGACTATGGAAGTCATAAAAATTTTAATGATTGTCTTCAAGCATACAATGAGTTTTTATGAGGAGGATACTTATTAGGCATTCTGCAAGTCCCCAAATGTTTAATAAAAAGCAAATGAAAAAAAAAACAACATAAAACAAATGAACTCAGATAAAGTAGGAAAGTGTTCAACTGGTAAATAACATTTTCTTAGCCAATTTAGTAATAAAACAAAAGTAGGTTGTAAAATAAAGAGACATCTCTGATAAGAAAATAGAAAATAATCTGTAATAAATGCATAAGGCATTTACCTAATGGAATAAAAATGGTTCAGTTTTTTCCATGATTTTACTCACATGTGTACCGTGTGTCCCCCCAGTATTGGTAAGGCACCCAAGGACTTGATGACATGGCCAAACACATACACCAAGGATAGATACATAATTGTCCTGTTGAGAGATTTAAATTAGTTAATCTACAAATAGAATTCAGAGACTTGAGTAATACAGACTCACAGTTCATACTATGCCCAGTGCCAGCATAAATAAAGTGAAAAGAGAAAGGGGTGGAGGAGGAAAAAATTACCTGAGAAATGCAAATAGAAATAATAGTGGCAAATGAAGTAAACAGACTAGAAAAGAAAGAGAGGAAGTCTTTGCTCTGAGTGTTAGAGGTAAAGGACATCCCCTTTAAGTGCCTTTCTCATACCTGACTCCCCCCACCCCCACCCCCGCCCCTACACATACACAGAGCATTCCTACTCCAGTACAGATATATTGAGGCTAGAATAAACTTGTAGTGAGTGATGGTATTTTAAAGTGGGAGAACCAGAAGAAGAGGATACTTTGAGATGTTTTTCTCAAGGAATGTCTCAGGCTCTAAAAATTGACAGGGATCAAGGAAAAACTCCAATTAAATAGGAAAAAGGAATGGCTAATACAAACTTTCTCTAAACCCAACCACTAAAATATAGAGAGAGGTAAAGGGCTCTCAGGTTCAGCCTAGTCACTTGAACACTTGGGTTAATCATAATCCCTGCCACAGTTGCCTCATGGACAAGTTAACCAAGGGTAAGAAAGGGGCCACGGACTTTGAATAGACTTTCCAGTGATAAAGATCATACAGCTGGTAGGGACTGCCTGTTGTATTGTTTTTTCTAGAAATCTGAATGACAAATAAAAAACAGAATAGTGAGAAATTCCAATTAGAACATATATAGAAATATAAACACTGAAATAAGGCATACATTCACATATACAATACACTCCTTATGTATATCACTACACTAGCAATCTTTTTATCTATAAGTAGAATGCAGTACTAGAAGAAACCTTGGAAATTACATAGTTTACATCTGTGGTTTTAAAGTATAACATGCTAATGTGGACTATAAAGAATGGAATGAAGTTATCAGAGAGAGGCTGAAGATAACAGAAATTTAGACTGGATTTCTCATTTTAAATGTCTAATCTTCCTAGGTTGGCTCTCCAGGGAGGGGGTCTTAGAAGGTTTATAATGGTAAATAGGGGGTACAAAGTTGGGTGACTAATTACTATTAGAAGAGCTAATTAATATCAGAAGGAGGGGGCAGGGTTTCACAAAATGTTTTGTAGGGTCTTCTAGAGAAAAGTTCTCTTTGTCGGAATAAAAAAAAAAAAAAAATAGAAAGAATAGGAATTAAAAGGGACTGAAAAAAAGGCCAGCTATCATAAACCTAAGGAGATAATCTATGCTAGATCATTAGAGAGAAAAATCAAAAGGAGTCTGGGCTAGAGTAATCAAGTCTGAGTAGGAAGATCAGAGCAATATCAAACTACTGGACTAAATGAATGAGAGAAGTGTAAGTGGCTTCGAAGCAAAATAGGCAACTTTTTAGGTAAAAGACTCAGGGAAGTAGTCTAGGATATGAAGAATATAAGAGAGGAAGCTAATGGCAGGAAAGTAAAAGAAGGAGGAAGAGTCAAGAGAGATTTGGAATTCCACATTTGAAATGAGATCACTGGAGTCCTTATAATGCAAATCATATAACACAGAACTGTTTTGGATAGACTTGACCTAGCTTCCATTTGCAAGTGAGGACAATGAAATTCACAGAGATCAAAGGAAAGTCCTAAAGTGACATTCTAATTAGTATTGGGGTTAGGTCTAGAACTTCTACTTTCTAACTCATAGTATGGTATTCCTTCAGTTTTATCATGAACAAGTTAATGTGGAAAAAAAACAAGAAAAGAGGAAGAACTTTTAAATTTTATTTCACCAGCAGAATTAATTTTAATTAGAGCTTAGGAACTGAGGAGTATGTGTGGTGATGGCAAAGGAAGAGACCTAGTGTAAAGAGAGTCACCTCTGACCAGACAAAAAAGATAGGAGTGGGGAGGCAATGCTACAGACTGACTAGGAGAAAGAGAAAGGGGAAGTGTAGAGAGGACACCCAAAAGCATATTCGACAGTAAACACATTTAAGAGAGTGCTTGTAAGTGATTGCCAAGGTTGAGTCCAGACTGATAGACATGGGTCACAGGGTATAAAAAACCAACACTAGGGATAAAAGTCATCTTCATGCCTGCCCACAGCTATCCTCAGTCTTGTGCCTCCATTTGAGTATCTGAGGATGAATAAATTTATTAATTGAAACATTATCAGGTACTAAAGTCTCATCAAAATATAAATGAGACTTTATTCTTTGTTTAGAAAACAATATTAGATTTATATACAAATAATTATAATAAAATAGAGTTTAATAAATGTCATCTGAGGGTAAAAAATAAGTTCAGAGATGATTAGATTAGTTCTGACTAGTAATGAAAGGTGAGGCACAGAGAATAATCCATAACATAGGTGGCGTTTGAACTGAGCCTTAAAGGATTTGGACAAGGGAGGATGGGGAGGAATGAGAGTCCATGAAGTAGAAACAGTACAAACAGACATAGAAAAGATATGCCCTGACAACTGTTAGGGAAATATTAGTGGTATTCAGTTTTTTTCTAGTAAACACTCTTGAAAGGAAGTATGACAATAAGAGCAGAAAGGTTAGTTGGGATGAGATTAGTGGACAGTGGGTTAATCAGCAGAAAATGTTAAGCAGAGTAGTAATGTGAACAGAGATTTCTTTTAGGAAGATTAATTTGGCAGTAGTGCATAGGCTCAATTGTAAGAAAAGGATATGGGAAGCAGTGGTAACATTTTAGGTGTCCATTTCAATAGCCCAATTTAGAGGCAATGAAGACCAAAACGCAAATAGTGGCAGTTAATAGCAGTGAGATTCACTGTTGAAGAGGGATATTACAGAAATAGAATTGGTAGAATTTGATAACTTGATTGAATGAATTTGACTAAATGTGGGCAGTTAGGTTTGGGAGGTGAGGATAAGGTGGAACATCCAGGAGATGAATGGCAATATGCAGTTCCAATGCATACTGAACTGGAGTGAGAGGTTAAGATTACAGAGTTTGAGGAGTATCTATCTGCCTATAGCTAATATTGACACCATGGAATTTGGTAAAAGAGAATCTGGAGAAAGAAAAGAGAGTAAAAAAATATATCCTGGAGAATTGCCTATATTCAGAAAAGAGTGAAGTAAACAAAAGGCAAAAGACAAGCCAAATAAGGAAGAATCCAAAAAATTATGAGGAAGAAAATCAGAAAATGCAGTGTAGAGAAGCCCAGAAAGTTTCAAGAATATAGGAATGATAGACTGAAATGTTAAAACAAATTCAAAGTGAATAAGAATCTAGAAAAGACCACTGGAATTTGTAAACAAAGAGATCACTATCAATGATTTTAGAGAGAGGAATTTTAATAGGATAAAGAGAATGATTTATGCTGCATTTTATTGTACTTACCACAGTCTGCTGCTCTGCATTAAAGGTAGTTGAAGATGAACAATGTGAAACAGGTATTTATGTCTTTTTCATCTCTTTATCCCCTATGTTTCTTTGAACTAATAGATGTTTGATAAACAATTATTGAATTAAATTCTATCAGATTAAATTGAATTGAATTAGATTCTATTGCATTACATCATATTACTCCTCCCTAAGGAGTGATCATGAAGAGTGAGAAAGGAAGGCAACAAATACAGATGATTCTTTTTAAAATTTGTAGATAATGGTAAAAAGACAAAGGAGACAGTTTGAAAGGGGGGGTTAACAATAGTTTTGTTTGTTTAAAACTCTCAAAGATTTACACTTGCTTTTAGATAGAGAAAAAGACTGGCTCTAAGGGAGAATTTGAAGGCAAGAGAGAAGAATATTGAGGGTACAAAAAAACCTAGGGAGAATAAGCTACGTAATGGTAAAAATTCATCAAGCTGTACATTTAAGACTTTTGGATTTTTGTACTTTATGTAAATTATACCTCAATAAAAATAACTTTAAAAAATAAAGAATACCACAAAAAGGATTGAGATGGAGGGCATAAGAGAAGGTTGTTATATTTCTTCTGAAATAGGAGGCTGGTATTCACCAATATCCCAGAATTATACTTCTTCCATTTTAATGGAAATCATTTTTAAAAATCAATGAAAGTACTAGCTATGTATTTGAGTCTTTTATTCTGTAACTGAATAGAAACCATGGCTTATCCTTTTTATTCTGCACATAGTGCCAGCCCCTTATTTGGATGACTTGGTAACTAATACTACATAAGGAGCAAGCATAGCTCTTAGCCACCTATGCACCATCCCCTTCTCAAGTAAAAAAACTGTGTTTAGTACTTTATATATAGGTTGTAGCTATGTATAAAGTGCTGATGAAACACTTTAGAACAATGAATATATAGAGGCCAAAGTGAGATACAAACCAGTGTTTACTAAAGAGGATTCCTTGAAACATTAGGTCCACAAGATACCCTGAAAAAATATTTTATGGTCAAATGAATTTAGGGAACACTATGCACCATAATCTTCTCTACGAGATTTTCCAGTGCATATTAGCATGTTAAAGGCTATAAGAAGTCATGCAGTAAAGAAGCATTTTAAGCTATGTTCAGCCTAGCATTTTCCAAGTTCATTTCACTATGAGATCTTTATCTTGCTACATACTATTCATTATATCCTACACAACCAATTTTCAACAAGAATGTACTTTGAGAAATGCTAATTTAGATAAATCCATAGATGACAAGCCCATAGAAAATAACTGGGTAATAAATAGCTAAGCTCCATCTCTAGCCTATGAGAATAATGTTATAGTTGTTTCCTATAACATTATCCTATAAATGTCTCGTGGTGCTATTTTCGGGGACTTAAAAGATCCTGAACTGAACAGACCATTAGTCTAACTCATGAAAATATTTATAGTCTTAAGAAGAAAACTATGGAAAGAGGTTAGAGAAGAGAAAACGAGTTGGTAAAAGAACTGAAAAGAAGGACTCATAAGATACTAAAGAAATATTAATATGGAGAAGAGATGGTAAATATATCAAATAACTACATTGAGGTCTCTAGAATTATAACATTTCTGGTGGGTAGCAATCTTTATTTCCCCTGAGATCGAACAAGAATTGGCCTTAAACTACAGGATAGAAGATTAAAATTAGATTTAGGAAAAAACAACTGATTGAAAAGGATGTAGAAATATTTGAAAAATAAATAATGATGTTGTCTGTCTTAGAGAGATTCTATTTATCATAGATGACATGCTGCATTCTTGCTTGGAAAAAGAGGCTGTTAAGTGGTAACCTCTGTACAATTAATCTGTGAAGCTTCTGAGGATGCAATCTTCTATCTTCCTTACTTGAATTTTCCCAGCCATGAGTCAGCAATGGCTGCTCCCAGGATGGGAGTGAAATAACACAGGCTGTTGAAGGCATGGTATACAGATGTGGAGGTGTCTTCATTCCAGTGCAGGAAATACAGGAAATACAGAGTCAGCACAGCTGAAGTGGAGAAAACGGAGGCAAAATAAGATAGATGCATTAAAGTGAATTATGGAAGAGAAGTACATTTGATCTCTGGTCTTTGAAGGTGATCTTAACCTTCAACACTCCTGTCAGTGAAGTGACTTCCAGGCAGTAGAAGCTGGGTTCCAGGCAGTATGAATGGGATGATGCTTGGTGTACAAATTCAATACTCTTCTCTGCAGTCTATGTTCACACATAGCATCGTTTAGGCCAATCATAAAGATAACATGGTGCTTCTAGTATCCCTTCCCTCTCCTTTTCAGCAACAATACATTCATAAAACTGAGGAACAGATGTGAAGAATGGAACTCAGATGGTGAGTGTTTTGCCATTTATATTCTCATGGACTGTTGTTCTGGTTTCTAATTGGCCTTTCTATTCATAGCCTGTATCTGTTACTACATGAAATTCCATAAGAAATTTATTGGCAGTCCTGGCCAAAGGAAAGAATCAATTTGGATTAAGACAGAAAGAGTGGACATGGGAAATAAATGCATACAAGACCACCACACATTACAAACATGGGGTGAGGGTGAATGGAGAAGAGTAAGACTTTGAGACATAAAATTACCTTTCATTCCATAATAGGAAAAGCGCTCACAGAATTCATTCACCACAATGAAGACAATACTCAGTGGATAGTTGGTGCCACAGATTTTCTATGAGGCAGAAAGACAATGGTTCAAACATGAGCTTCTCCACCACCCCTATTTAAACCTCAAGACTGTTACACAGCAAAAAAATTCATTTATTTTAAATCACCATGATAGTTAATGTGAAGCAATGATGCCCACCCTTCAAGAAATAGCTATTATCTACTAAAAGTGCTTGCATTGCTGATTTAGGAATGATAGAAGCTATTATGAATATTACTTGTTCCTCTTTAACATGAAACTGCTCAGACATTCCTCAATCCTAGACACAGGATCTACTTATCTTCCTACCACTACTAACTGAAAAGCCTGGGGCTCTGGGCAGAATAGGCCTTACTTATTTCTAGGATCAGAATGAAGAAGTGGCCCTATAGAGCACTTGATGACCAAGCAGTTACATTTAAATGTCAGTAACCTGCTTAGCTCTGATGTGCAAACTAACCTCCCTTGGTCCCACCTGCCCTGTTCACCACACTGGGAAGAAATCTGGCAATATGTTGGCTTCCTATTCAGAGGCTGCTGGAGCCAGGCTCAGAGGCCATCACAAATTCCTAAAGGTTAGCTGATCGATCACCTTGACCTTGGGCAGAATTCTTAAATCCTTTAAAATTAAATGTCCATTCATCCTATGAAAGAGATTTATTTATTTTGTTTGAAAAATAAATCTTATCATGTTTATTTTCCCCGATTTATTTTTTTATTACTTAATTCATTTTTGTTACAGATGTTTCTCCTTTTCCCCCCTAGACAACCTCCTCGAAATCCTACCCCTCCCCCCGCATTGTTGTCTATGTCCATTGGTTATGCATACATGCATATAAGTTCTTTGGTTCATCTCATCCCTCCTCCCCTCCTCCTTCCTCTGAGGTTTGTCAGTCTGAATCGTACTCCTTTCTATGTTTCTGGGTCTATTTTGTTCATCAGCTTATTTTGTTCATTATATTCCACAAATAAGTGAGATCATGTGGTATTTGTCTTTCTCTGATTGGCTTATTTCACTTAGCATAATACTCCCCAGGTCCCCCCATGTCGTCTCAAAGGATAAGAGATCTTTCTTATATGAAAGACATTTCATAATCTTATTCTGTAATCCTATTGGACATCAAAAGGACTATGCTATTTCATGCACTATGTCAGTCAGAATATAAGGAATGTCAACTTTTCTTTCGAATCCCTATCTGTTAATGATAGCCCAACAAACGTGAAAGAGGGATAGAGATATATGTCCTTGGAAGAGTCATATCTTATGAGATTTATATTGCCTCTTATTTCATAAGAAATTCATGCGTCTTTGTAAGCAGTCTTAGATTGTTTGGGACCAGAAGAGTTATAACTAACTAGAGGTATAACTAACTAAGGTATATTTAACTAAATAGAAAAAGCAATAAATTAATTTTTTCATTCTTTTACCCATATGGATAGATAAAAACAACCCTCTTAAATATTAACATATGTTAATGTATGATAATAACTTGCTTGAAAGACACAATGAACTGGCTTTTTATCTTTCCAGCTCACAGCTTGAGAATTCTGCAAGCTGAAGTTTTGTTAACACACTTTCACTAACTGTGTAACATTGTCACTGGCTGGGTTAACATACTAACCCTAGCCATTGCCACTATACATGTCTTTATGCTTCAGTTCTGTTATTCCAAAAAAATGAGAAACTACCACCTCTTGGCCCATATTAAAAACTCAGTAAATATTGGCGATTATTACTGTATCCTCTCCACTATAGGATTTTGATGTGAAGATTGATTGAGATAATGAATTTGAAAGTGTTTTAATAAGTATGTAATGCAAAATATTATTATTACTTCCTTGTTTCACTATACTGTCTCCCACTGTAAAATGGAACACATAGTAAGAGACTGGATCTATTCTAAAACTTCTCTTGGTGTCCAGCCTAAGACTCTTAACACAGGGGGAACTAAGGGCTGCATTTTTTTTGTTGTTGTTCAGATAGAGCAGGAGGGAGGGAGGGAGAGAGAGAGAGAGAGAGAGAGAGAGAGAGAGAGAGAGAGAGAGAGAAACATCGATGTGAAGGGACACATCGAGTGGCTGCCACCCGCACGACCAACCAGGGCCGGGGACAAACTGCAACCGAGGTACATGCCCTTAGCGGGAACTGAACCCGGTCTCTCTGTACCGCAGGCCGAGGCTCTAACCGCTGAGCCAAACCGGCCGGGGCAGGGCTGCATTTTTATGTTGGTAAAGAAAGAACAATCACACATAGTTCTCCAGACAGGAGTGCTTGCCAAGTTCCCCTGGATTTTCAAATTGCTTCTTCTTTCTTTCACCAAAGAGAAATTCAGAATATATATACAAAGAAACACAGCAAAGTCCTGGATCTCAAATGAAGAATTTTGACTGTCTCTTCCTGCTGTATCCTCTCCTAAGTAAAAGAAACCTCTGTTTATATTTGGTTTTCATGTTAATTCTAACTCCAAGAAAGAATAGTTTTTAATACCCTAATACAGCTCAGCCTGAAACTCCAAGAGGCCAAGGAAGAGAACTAAAAGAGTAAATTTGTTCCTGTCAGAGGCAGAAATAAATCTGGGGACTCACCGGAGGTGGCTTCTTTGGAAGGCTGGGAGGCCGAGGTGGTACCTCTTCAGTGGAAACAGGTGAAAAAAAAGTTTCTCTAGACTCATTTTTCTGGAAGGGATTCATAGCTGGATCCTTACTCTCTCTCTCTCTTCAAGCATTTGGCTTCGGTAAGCACTTGGGGCAGCTGACAGCTTACTGTGAAAAGGGGGACTGACTGGGAGGGGAAAGGGGGTGGCTTCAGCAACTAGGTTTAACCCTGTGGGTGTTGGCTTCAGCAACTGCCTGATCCAGAGCAAAGCACAAATCTATAGGAAAAGAAAGGGTTAGGTCTTGGATACTAGTTCAAAAGAATAATTATGTAAAAAGTAAAGTATGGAGAAGTGAGAACAACATATCACAAGATGGAAAAGACAATGCTAGAGAATTGCAAAAGCATGCAAAATAGTTAAGAATACAATCCTTCAAGCATAGATTTAAACATTGATTTCAGGATAATAATAGCTGCTATTTACTGAATACCTGTTATGGTCAAGATTAATATACATATAATTACATACAGGATAGGGCAAAAGTAGATTTACAATTGTATGGAAAATGATACAATAATAAATAAATACTAATATAAAAATAAACTGTTTCGTGTACTTACAATTATAAACATACTTTTGCCCCACCATGTATTTATTATCTATTGTAATTTTTACTACTATGCTCATTTTATAGGAACAAATGTTCCAAAAGGTTATTTATGCAAAGTCATGTGGCCAGAACTGGTATTTCACCATGACAGATAAAGATTGATATTAGTAAATAGAAATGCATTGGAGAAGGGAAAGTCAATACAAAAATTGAATTTGGAGAGGGAGAAAAGATGTTGACCTTTGGTTTTCAAAATAATAAAATTCAAATAGAAATATCCTATAAGCAATTAAAGAGGTGGGACTAATGAAAATGAGAGAAGGGGATTCCAATATGGTGGCAGATTAAGTGGAAGCTACACTGACATTCTTCTAAGACCAAACTGGAATTACAACTAAAATATATAAAAATCATCCTAAATAACCAACTGAAGACTAGCTGTAGGGAACCCTCATAACCAAGGACATAAAGAGGAGCCGACATCAAGACTGGTAAAAAGCACGGAGGCACGAGAGGGCTGGCTGGGCTCCTACAAGCAGTAGCTGAAGTGCTGAGAGGATATCTTAACTGGGGGGGGGGGGGGGATTCCAAAACTGGGTTTTCCAGCCTGAGTAACAGAACCGGGAAAGATGCCCACATAATGTCTGGCTGTGAAAAGCACCAGAGGTTCTGTCCAGCAGGGAGAGATGTCTAGAAATATGGGTACCCTCTTAAAGGGCCAATGCACTAAATTTTATTTGCAGCCATTCACCTTGGGCTCTGGCAGAGGGAGGGCAGAATGGACTAGAGCTGGGTAAGGAGAGTCTGGTGTTGGTGGATCTGGGGAGAGAGCTGAGAAGAGAGTTGCCAAGATCCCTGTGCTGAGTCATTCCTACATTCTGGAGAAGCTCTTTACTATCCAGGAAGCTTTAGCCTGGGGGGAAGCAATAGCCCCACACATTAGAAATCTTGTCCCAACCTGTGGAGTTTTACAACCTGCAGAAGACTATAGCCTGAGGCTCATTAAGTGACTGAGACTAATAGCCTAAAGGCAGAGGCAGATCTCTGGGTGCTTTGAGTCTTTTCCTGACTTGCTTCTGGGCACAGGGCTAGTAAAAGTAGATCTTGGTTCACAGCTTGGTGTTTTCTACACACACCAGCCCCAGCAAAGGGAGCTCAAAGCTGTGGATTGCTGATAGCTCCAAACAAGGTACTCAGGGCCAGTCACAAAGTGTCTGACATTGGCATGCACCAAAGACCTTCCAAAGAGGCCCCAAACCAATAAACCCAGTGGCCAGCTTCAGACAACAACAAAGCAGGATCCAACGACCTTTGTAAGCAGTATATCTACAAGGAGATCTTGGCACACTCCACACCCTGCTGAGGCAAATTCTACTTTGCATGATAAGCACCTGCACAGTGGGGTTGAGCCTCACTGTCAGTCAACCTGAGGGTCAAGCCCACACACAAAGGCAATCAAGACTCACAGGGGTCCCACACAATACACACAAGGAACATTATTAAAGCACCCAGTTCTGTTGTTCAGGGAGATTGTGCCACTGGGTCTCACAGGTCACCTACAACTCAAGGCCACCCTACCAAGACTGGGAATTACAGCATATCTACCTAATATATAGAAACAAACCCAAACAGGCAGCTAAAATGGGGAGACAAAGAAATAAGACCCAAATGAAAGAACAAGAGAATTCTCCAGAAGAAGAGCTAAATAAAATTGAAATAAGCAATTTATCAGATACAGAGTTCAGAATAATGATTATAAGGATGCTCAACAGCATGAAAAAAATCCATAGAAATTAGGAAAAACAGCCAGTCAGAAATAAAAACTGACATAGTAGAATAAAAGACTACACTGGAAAGAATGTCAGCCTTGCAAGAAACATTAAAGGGACTGCTGTAATAATAAGAAATAAATAGAAAAACATAGGCATAAAAAAATAAAGATGACAATAAATAAGTGCCTATCAATTATAACCTTAAATGTAAATGGATTAAATGCTCCAATCAAAAGATATAGGGTAGCTGAAAGGATAAGAAAACATTACCCATATATATGCTGTCTACAGGAGACCTACTGCAGAACAAAAGAGTCACACAGGATAAAAGTGAATAAATGGAAAATTTTTTTCCATGCAAATGGAAATGAAAAAAAGCAGGAGTAACAATAGATATAAATCTAACAAAATAGATTCCCAAACAAAGGCATCACAAGAGACAAAGAAGGGCATTACATAATATTAAAAAGATTGATCCAACAAGAGGATATAACCCAGGTAAACATATATGCACTCAATACAGGAACACTTAAATATATTTAAAAATCTTTGAGGACTTTAATAGAGAGATCAACAGCAATACAGTCATAGTAGAGAACTTTAACAACCCACTGACTTCACTGGATAGATCTTCCAGACAAAAACTCAACAAGGAAATAGTAACTTTAAATGACACACCAAATCACATGGATTTAATTGACATTTACAGACTATTTCACCCCAAAGCTACAGACTATACATTCTTCTCAAGTGCACATGGGACATTCTCAAAGATAGACCCCATGTTAGAACACATTGAGTCTCTACAAGTTCAAGAAATTAAAATCATATCAAGCATCTTCTCAGATAACAACCGCAGGAAAATAAAAATCAACTATAATAAAACACTCAAAAACATTCAAACATATGTAGGCTAAATAGCATGTTATTAAACAATGAATGGGTTACCAATGATATCAAAGAAGAAATAAAAACTTCATAGAAATAAATGGAAGTGAATACACAACAACCCCAAAACTATGGGATACAGCGAAAGCAGACCTGAGGGGGAAGTTCAGAGTACTAGAGGCCCACCTCAAGAAACAAGAAAAATTTCCAATAAACTGTATAACCCTACAACTTTAAGAATTAGAAAGAGATCAACAAGAAAAGCCCAGTGTAAGTATAAGGAAGGAAATAATAAAGATCAGAGCGGGAGGTGGGAGGCGACCAGCTGGGGCTCCCCGGGCCTTGGGGTCCTATGAAGGAGAGGGCGGGGCCAGCTAGGGGACCTTAAGACAACACTTCAACGAGCACCCAAACCCGAATGGAGTGATGCTGTGGTTCCAGGGCGCCATTCCAGTCGCCATCGCGTGGGCCAAGAGGAGCGGCGCGGTCTTCGTGGTGTTGGTGGCAGGTGATGATGAGCAGTCTACACTGATGGCTGCAAGTTGGGAAGATGAGAAAGTGACAGAAGCAACTTCAAACAGTTTTGTTGCTATTAAAGTCGATACCAAAAGTGAAGCCTGTTTACAATTTTCACAAATCTATCCTGTAGTGTGTGTTCCATCTAGTTTCTTTATTGGAGACAGTGGAATTCCCTTGGAAGTAATAGCAGGAAGTGTTTCTGCAGATGAACTTGTTACCAGAATTCACAAAGTCCGGCAGATGCACTCATTAAAAGGTGAAACTTCAGTGGCAAATGGCAACCAGTCAGAAAGTTCAGTCTCTACTCCATCCACCTCATCTGAACCTAACACTTCTGAAAACTCTCAGTCGGAAACGCAGAGATTTGTGAGACACCACCCATTTCTGATACAAAGTCAGATTCTGCAGCAGGAGGAGAACGATCAGGCCATGCCACTTTGTCTCAGGAGCCTAGTGGGTGTTCAAATCAGAGACCTGTGGAGGACCTCACTGTCAGAGTGGAAAGACTAACCAAAAAACTTGAAGAAAGGAGAGAAGAGAAAAGGAAAGAGGAAGAACAGAGAGAGAATAAGAAAGAAATTGAGAGGAGAAAAACTGGAAAAGAAACGTTGGATTATAAAAGAAAGCAAGAAGAGGAATTAACGAAAAGGATGTTAGAAGAAAGAAAGAGAGAAAAGGCAGAAGATAGGGCAGCTCTAGAGCGTATAAAACAGCAGATTGCATTGGATCCTGCAGAGAGAGCAGCTCATTTTGCAAAGACAAAGGAAGAAGTAGAAGCTGTTAAAGCCACCGCCTTTCTGGCTAAACAGGCAGAAGTGGAAGTTAAGAGGGATGCTTCTGCAAGAGAAAGAAGCACTGTTGGCAAGAATTCAATTTCATCTTCCTGATGGTTCTTCCTTTACAAATTAGTTCCCTTCTGATGCTCCTCTAGAAGAGGCAAGGCAGTTTGCTGCACAGACTGTTGGCAACACTTATGGTAATTTTTCATTAGCAACCATGTTTCCCAGGAGAGAATTTACCAAAGAAGATTATAAAAATAAATTATTGGATTTGGAACTTGCCCCAAGTACTTCCGTAGTACTCTTACCAGCAAAAAGACCAACTACATCTATGGTACATTCTTCCAGTGGAGATTTTTGGACATTGTTGGGGACAGTACTTTACCCATTCCTTGCCATCTGGAGATTGGTTAGCAACTTCTTATTTAGTAATCCTCCTCCTGCACAGACCTCAGTGAGAGCAGCGTCTTCAGAATCCTCAAACTTTGCATCGTCTAGCACTTCAGAAAAAAGGGAACCTGTCAGAAAAAGAGTGCTGGAGAAACGGGGGGAAGACTTTAAAAAGGAGAGGAAGATATATAGATTGAGGACTCAAGATGATGGTGAAGATGAAAACAACACTTGGAATGGAAATTCTACTCAACAAATGTAGTGTGACAAGTACATTATGTGCAATAATCATTGTTTCTTTTATGATTTAATTCAACTAAAATTCTACTGGAGAGGTGGGACTGCTTTATGTTTTCTAACTGATCTATAAAGTGTCTCTTTATTCCTAAAAAAAAAAAAAATATATCAGAGCGAGCCCTGGTGGGTTGTGGGTTCGATTCTGGTCAAGTGTACGTACTTCAGTTGCAGTTCATCCCTGATCCTGGTTGGTGGTGTGCAGGAGGCAACCAGTTGATGTGTCTCTTTCACGTCGATATTTCTCTCTCTCTCACTCTTTTTCTCTCTCTCTCTCCCTCTCCCTCTCCCCTTTCTTCCCTCCCTCCCACTCTGTCTGAAGATAAATGGAAAAATATCCTTGGGTGAGGATTAAAAAAAGAAAAGAAAAAAAAGATCAGAAGGGAAATAAATGACATAGACTAAAAACAAACAAACAAACAAAAAACAATAAAAAGATCAATGAAACCAAGAGCTAGTTCTTTGAAAAAATAAATAAAATTGATGAACACATAGCCAGATGCATCAAAAACAAAGAGAGAGGATCCAGTAAGTAAAATCAGAAAAGAAAGAGGTGAAGTAACAACTGACACCACAGAAATACAAAGGATTGTAAGGAAAATATTACAAACAACTATATGCCAACAAATTGGACAACCTGGGTGAAATGGATAAATTCCTAGAGACATACAATCTTCCAAAACCAAATCAGAAAGAATCAGAAACCCTGAATAGACCAGTAACAACTACTGAAATTGAAGCAGTAATAAAAAAAAACTTCCAGCAAACAAAAGTCCTGGACCAGACAGTTTCACAGAAGAGTTTTATCAAACATCAAAGAACTAACACCTATCGTCCTCAAACTATTACAGAAAATTCAAGGGGATGGAAGACTTCTAAGCATTTTTTATGAGGTCAGCATTATCCTAATTCCAAAACCAGGTAAAGACACTACAAAGAAAGAAAATTACAGGCCAATATCCCTCATGAACATAAATGTCAAAATCCTCAACAAAATATTAGAAAATAAGACCCATTAAGAAGATTATTCACCATGACCAAGTGAGATTTATCCCAGGTATGCAAGGCTGGTACAATATTCACAAATCAATAAATCTGGTACATCACATAAACAAAATGAAAGGTAAAAATCATATGATCATATCAATAGATGCAGAAAAATCATTTGACAAAATCCAGCACCCATTTTTGATAAAAACCCTCAGCAAACTGGGAGTAGAGGGGTCATACTTCAATATAATAAAAACCATATATGACAAACCTACAGCCAACATTATACTCAATGGGCAAAAACTAAAAGTGTTTCCCTTAAGAACAGGAACAAGACAGGGATGTCCACCTTCACCACTCTTACTCAACATAGTACTGGAAGTCTTAGCCACAGAGATCAGACAAGAATAAAAATAAAAGGCATTCAAATTGAAAGGATGAAGTGTCCTTTCATCATTTGCAGATGACATGATATTGTACATAAAAAACCCTAGCCCTGGCAGGTTTGGCTCAGTGGTTAGAGCATTGGCCTGCAAACCAGAGAGTCCTGGGTTCGGTTCCCACTAAGGACATGTACTTTGGTTGCAGTTTGTCTCCAACCCGGTTGCGGTCATGTGGGTGGCAACCAGTTGATATGTCTCTCTCATGTTAATGTTTCTCTCTCTCTCTTGCCCCCTCTCTCCCTCCCGCTCTATCTGAAGATAAATGCAAAAATGTCCTTGGGTGAGGATAGGAAAAAAAAAGAAAAAAGAAAACCCTAAAGACTCCAACAAAGAACTACTAGATTTAATAAATAAATTTGGCAAAGTAGCAAGATACAAAATTAACATCCAGAAATCAATGGCATTTTTATACACCAATAATGAACTCTCAAAAAGAGAAACTAAAAAAATAAAAATCCCATTTACCATTGCAATGAAAAAATTTAAGATACCTAGGAATAAAGTTAACCAAGGGTGTAAAAGACCTGTACTCAGAAAACTACAGGACACTGAAAAAGAAATAGAGGAAGACTTCCGGTCAAGATGGCAGGTAGGTAAACAAGGTATCGCATCCTCCCACAACCACATCAAAGTTACAACTAAACTACAGAACAACCATCATTCAAAACCGCCTGAAATCAAGCTGAATGGAAGTCCTACAACTACGGAACTAAGAAAAAAAAAGCAGCTACATGCAGACCGGTAGGACAGGCGGCGGCACGAGGGTGGGCGGCTGCGCGGGCAGCAGTGGAGCAATGGCGACGCGCAGCAGCGAGACGGGCTGGTCCCACACCCAAGCGTGGTGGATAAAAATCAGGAGGCTCCCGCGGCTGGGAAGGTCCTTCCTGAGGACTGAGGGGTCCCCATCCCACACCAGGTGCCCCGTTCAGGGTTCCAGTTCCAGGAAGAGAAGTTCCCATAACTTCTGGCTGGAAAAACCAGCGGAAACTGAGGCTCAGGGAAGCTGACCTGACTGGAGCCCCAGGCAGCTCCTTAAAGGGCCCACGCACGGACTTATCGGACTCTCTCCCTCTAAGCGCGGAGGGGAGGCAGCTCGAGGGGCGCCAGAGACATACAGGGAAGAACTGAGCTGTTTGGCACTGAAACGAGGGCTGGAGAGGAGGCTTTCTGCAGGACCAACGTGCTGTAAGAGGCCTTTGTTCCTTTGGTGAGCCCTTCCCGGGGGCGGCAGACAGTCGCCATATCTGGGACTCCAGCAACCTGGCTCACACTGGTAGCCCCGCCCTGCTGACTCCCTGAGGCCCCGCCCCACCCCACACAACTTTCAAGCACACCCAAGCTGTTGCCACTTGCTTAACCGTAGGATTGGCCGGTCTTGGATCCTGCTTCAGGTTTTTTGTAAATTCTTTCAAACGAGCAGCACCGGGTCTCAGCGAGCCCCATACCTCTCATTAAGTAATACACATAAACAAACACAGGGAGGCAGTAAAAATGAGGATACAAAAAAAACAGGTCCCAAATGAAAGAACAGAACAAAACCCCAATAAAAGAACTAAGCGAAATGGAGATAAGCAACCTAACAGATACTGAGTTCAAAATACTGCTTATAAGGATGTTCAATGAACTTAGTGAGAACCTCAGTGAACTTAGGGGGGGGCCTCAAGAGCATAAAAAAGGACCAGTTAGAAATCATGGATACACAGTTAGAATTAAAGGGCATTAACTGAAATAAAGAATAATTTACACAGCTTCAATAATAGAGTATGTAAATCCAAGGAGCAAACCATCGATTTGGAATATAAGGAAGCAAAAAATCCCCAATCAGAACAGCAAAAAGAAAAAAGAATCCAAAGAAATGAGGATAGTGTAAGGAGCCTCTGGGACAACTTCAAGCGTGCCAACATTCGCATCTTGGGGGTGCCTGAAGGAGAAGAGAGAGAACAAGAAATCGAAAACCTGTTTGAAACAATAATGGCAGAAAACTTCCCTAACTTGGTGAAGGAAATAGACATACAAGTCCAGGAAGCACAGAGAGTCCCAAGCAAGATGAACCCCAAGAGGCCCACACCAAGACACATCATCATCAAAATGCAAAAGGTTCAAGACAAAGAGAGAATCTTTTTTTTTTATCCTCACCCGAGGACATTTTTCCATTTTTTGTACAGATAGAGTGGGAGGGAGAGAGAGGAAGGGAGAGAGAGAGAGAAACATCGATGTGAAGGGACACATCGAGTGGCTGCCACCCGCACGACCAACCAGGGCCGGGGACAAACTGCAACCGAAGTACATGCCCTTAGCAGGAACCGAACCGGGTCTCTGCGGACCGCAGGCCAACGCTCTAACCGCTGAGCCAAACTGGCCAGGGCCAAAGAGAGAATCTTAAAAGCAGCAAGAGAAAGGCATCTAGTTACCTACAAGGGAGTTCCCATTAGGCTGTCAGCTGATTTCTCAAAAGAAACTTTGCAGGCCAGAAGGGAGTGCCAAGAAATATTCAGAGTGATGAAAACCAAGAACCTACAACCAAAATTACTCTATCCTGCAAAGCTGTCATTTAGAATTGATGGACATATAAAAACTTTCCCAGACAAGAAAAAGTTAAAGGAGTTCATCACTACCAAACCGTTATTATATGAAATGATGAAGGGTCTTTTTGAAGAAAAAGATAAAATGTATGAACAAACAAAATGGCAATGAATACATATCTATCAACAATGGAATCTACAAACAAAATGAACAGGAAGAACAGAAACATTCTCATAGATACAGAGAACATTTTGTTGGTTGCCAGTTGGGAAGGGGGTTTGGGGAATGGGTGAAAAAGGTGAAGGGATTAAAAAGCACAAATTCATTGCTAGACTGACAAACCTCAAAGGGAAAGGGGTTGTGGGGGTGGGAGGAAATAAACCAAAGAACTTATATGCATAACCAATGGACACAGACAGTAGTGTGGGAAAAGGTGGGCGGGGGGCGGGAGTGGGGAGGAGGGGGTCAATGGGGGAAAAATGTGGAACATCTGTAATACATTTTACATCCAACAATAAAGATTTGGGGAAAAAAAAGAAAAGAAATAGAGGAAGATATAAACAAGTGGAAGCATATACCATGTTCATGGATTGGAAGAATTAACATCATTAATATGTCCATACTACCCAAAGCTATCTATAGATTCAATGCAATCCCTATTAAAATACCAATGGCAAACAACAAGTGTTGGCGAGGATGTGGAGAAAAGGGGACTCTAGTACACTGCTGGTGGGAATGCAGACTGGTGCAGACACTACAGAAAACACTATGGTGTTACCTCAAAACATTAAAAATTGAATTGCCATTTGATCCAGTGATCCCACTTCTAGGAATATATCCTAAGAATCCTGAAACACCAATCAGAAAGAATATATGTACCCCCATTTTTATAGTAGCACTATTTACAATAGCTAAGATCTGGATATGGCCCAAGTGTCCATCAGTAGACGAATGGATAAAAAAGTTGTGGTACATATACATAATGGAGTACTATGCAGCTGTAAGAAGGAAAGAGCTCTTATCCTTTGAGTCGACATGGAGGGACCTGGAGAGTATTATCCTAA